TGAAATTTGGTCAAGCCCTACAAATATTTCCGTTGTATTCGCCAAAAATGGAGAAAGAAAAATTGAAGCTACCATATGCTCCTAGGACATAAATAGTGACAGCTTTTAAAATGATGTGTAATTGTACTTATTAGTTACTTTTAATTTCGATAATCAATTATTGAGTTTTGCGTTTGTTATATAACTAGTAATTGTCTAGTGCATTTGTACAGAGTAGAATACTTAAGAAAAGATAACAATATAAAAAGAAAAAATAAAAATACATAATCATAATTTAATTTATTAAAAAAATATATGAATTAAGAAAATGATTCTAAAACGCTTCTTTATATACAACATTTATGGTTTCATATCGTCGGAATCACCATCACCATATACCATTATCTTCAAACTCTTCCGATTCGTGACTCTAGAAAGATAATGTTACTTATAATAAGAAAAATAATGTTACTGAATGTCATATCTTAGGAAAAAAAATGAAAAATTCAAGGAGTTGATGGACAAAACAAGTTTTTTTTTTTTTTTTTTTTAATTTATTTATTTATTTATTTATCTTCGATACAATACATTGCATACCTAAAAAAGGTGAATTATAAGATGGAGGAAGGAAACTAAGGACATGAGTATTTACAAGTATTTTTTTCTCAAATTCAATCTCAACTCAAATCTAATTCAACTCCATCATACATCAATATTATCAATATAATTAAATATAACAATCAATCACTCTTACACATCAATCAACTTAAATTCAATATTCATCAACTCACATAATTTTAACTACACATCATTTCAAACCACATATCTCTTACTTTACATCAAATCAACGGAAAATGCTACAGTCCCATTACAGAATAATTCCGTGAGGATTATTAGCCATGTATGATCTACAATAACTAACTTACATGTATATCTAAAGGCTAATAGCCCTCATAGCCCTCATGGAATCATTCTGTGACTGGACTGTAGTTTTTTCCCAAATCAACGTTAACTATTTTATTTTAGATATTATTTCAATACAATCTCAAAATCCATTCAAATCTAACACAATAAACTTTTTCAAAATTATGAGTATGTTTGCAAACATTTTTTTTGGGACGATAGAAAACACAAATATTCACAACACAAACAAGACTAGAAAACAACTACTCACATGAATATATAGCCAACGACCAAATAAGCTGAACAACTGACTCTAGTAAGGAGGACTACACGTACAGACTGACGGCAACCTAGAGTCAACCTACAAAACAAAACACAACTAAAAAAACTTCCAAAAGGAGAAGAAACAAAAAGTCCCAACAGGAGAATAACCAAACATACTCCCAACAAGAGAGAAAGAACATAAAACACAAACGAAACAAACACAACACACAAACACTAGCAAACAACCTAAACACAAACAAGAAAACTAGACAAACTAGAAACATGCCCTTCCCACAGTCGGCACACACGCCAAAGGTCACACGACGACAACCAACTACCCCAACGACCAGACCAAGCCCCGAGATGCCACTCCAAAAATTGCCACATCACGCCTAATTGAAACCGCAAACCTAGGACCCAACCTAGCACCCAGGTGGTCGACCTCGATCCGACCCCGAAGCCGAAGGAACTCCTACCCAACTCCCCCCGCACCACGCCGTCCAAAGCTTGCACATACCACGGCCAAGAACAGAGGACGCCGACCACCACCATCGGCGGTCAAAGTCGCAGCCACTCCCCGAAAAGTACCATTGTCGAACCCTGATACGACACTAGGAGACCGATGACACAACACCCAAGGACGACAGCTAAATCGACACTGAAACCAATGACATATCATTATACCGAGCCGCTGAGGCCAACAACGTTCCTAAATCGAGGGTCAGTCGCGCAGCTCGAAGCCGGCCGGCCATCGCGAACACCCAGCGACCGCTAGGGAAGGCTCGGAGAAGAAAAAAAACCTAGTGAGAGGTTTGATTGGAGTTTTTGCTTTTGCAAACGTTAAGATTAGATAATATCAAGTAAGGTTGTAGACGTGTTGGGGGGAAATTGAATGTTTAAGTTTGGGGTCCCTATATATTATTTGCTTTTAATTAGCAATGGAGTAAAACTACAATTGTTTTCTTTAATTGCATATACATCTATCACACTGAAACAAATCGAATCCAATATAATTTTTAAATCAAAAATCCACTTTTCTTCTAAAAAATTCACTTTTCTTCTAGTCTAACTGTTTTTTTTTTCTTAAATATTATTAATATAATTAAATAACAAAAAGAAATTATTACTACACACCTTCCCACAAATTTCACTATTCACCACTCTAATATTTTTACCTATCAATTATTTACAATTATTATTTTAATATTATATAAATTAATCATTACATTTTATCTCATATCCATCAATTAACTCAAAATTCAGTCAATTTTTTCTAACAATCAAATCTAACCCAAAATATTTAAATTATTCGATTCAAATTCGTAAAAATATTCAAGTATTCACATTCGTTATAGGCCGTATCTATACAATTCAATTTGTGATTCTTATATTTATATGTACACACAAACATATATATATATTTCAAGTAAAATTTTATATTATATATTAATATACTAAATTTTATATAAATGTTACAAAAATTTTAAATCGGAATCACAAAACAAATCGACAAAAATTGTTATTTTACAATCCAATGCAGCAGTCCAACTTGTCATTAAAAAAATTAGCATTAAAAGAGGTTATTGTGATATAATGTTGCTGCCCAGGATCGAACTGGGGACCTTCAGTGTGTAAGACTGACGTGATAACCACTACACCACAGCAACCAGATGCTAGCAAGGGCATTATCGTATTCATTAGCCAGACACAAGGATGTCGCCGCAGAAGTGAATATTCACCTCATAGCCGCTGGTGCATCTCTTTTTTGTTTCCATCGGCCATGTCTATCATTGGTGGTGTTATCGCGTGTGTGTCGCCGACTGAGAGGAGTTGAGGGATGGCCGAATCTAATTCGTAATTTTTGGATCTGCGTAGCTAATAGCCGGTTGAGGGTGTTGGGAGTGGTCATATCTGCAACTCTTGCTTAGTTGCTTATGTGGTCCGACTTCTTCTCAAGTCGTATATAACAATTGAGTATATAGTACTGTTTATAAGAGATAACTTGCAATGTATATTTAGCCAATAAAAAAAGCAGTACATTTAAGAAGGTAAAACAATAGTAAAAAACACCCTTATCTCAATATATAGGGTGTCTTTTTTTTTTTTTTTTTTTTCAAATTTTTTGTGATTTGGAGTAGTGCTTATAGATTTAGACTTATTTTATTAATTTTTAAATATAAAACACTTAAATAACTTAAAATTATATGTATAAATTTGTAAAGTTATTTTGTTATTAACTTTCATATATGATATATCAAACTAATAACATCTTGATGAACTTCGATTTTACATCGATCTTGTACCTTTATAATAAAAAATAACTTACCTATCATTATACATTATATATTAATAAAATTATTTATCAATCAAATAAATTTAGCTATCAAGTTCTTTATACAATCTGAATTTAAAAATCTATTATAACATTAGATGGGCAAGTTGTACAAGTAACGACGAACCACATAATTTTTAAATATCGATAATAATGTAATTTTTAATAATTATTTTAAATTTAATATAAAAACTCCTCTATCTCTCTATCTCTCTCTTTTTTTTTTCTGAAAAAAAAATAGGTGTAATACTTTTATTAGCACCCATGTATACGAGTGTTATACTCTATTAATACCATTAATACAACAATGGTGTGTGTTGTACTAGTATTGAATTAAAAAATGTGCACAAACAATAAAAAGTATTTTTCTTGTTGTAATTTTTTAAGAAAAAAACATTTTAAAATTTGAAATGCTTCTTGAGAAACTATAATATTATTTTATTTCAAATTACAGCCACGTGTACACACGATAATTATTAAATAAAATTAGTTTTTGCACAAAAAATATCAATCAAATCTATCTCTTAATGTATAAAATGGTTAACAATTTACTTTAAATTATAACACAATTCCCGACTAAAACTTTGTTTTTATCAAATATGAAAATTTTAAAAATAATTTGAATTTCAAACTTTTGAATGTCATATAAAATAACCATAATTTTGTTTCCTTCCTTATAACTAGTTATAACTACTGCGTATTTCATGCGATGTATGGATAGACAATAATAAATAATATTTTTTATTTATTATATTCATTTAAGATTTTATTTATTTTCATTTATTATTTCACAATAAGTTATTTGATATTTAATTTAAATGCACTCTACTATAATAAATTGTACCTTACTTTGTTTTAATTTAACTTTTCATTTAATATTATATAATTAATTTTGTTATATTTTAATTATTATAATTTTATATATATCAATATAATTTACATTTATCTTTTAAATTTAATTTGATTTATTCATATGTAATGTCTATATATATTAATCGCTATTAAATTTAATATACAACTTAGACTGGTATGGTGGTTACAATGTCAATATGCAACCTTGAGTTCCCAAGTTTGAACCCTAGCGTTGTTTAAATTTTTTATCGCCATGTCAGCAGAAAAAGACCGAAGTTGAGCTATGTGATTCTAATTGCCAACAATAACCAAAGTGGTGCGTATATTTGTCAAATTTAAAAATGGTGCATATAATTACAAATTCATTATAGGTTATGGTTTTATTAGCAAACAAAACGACCTGAAGCACGATCCCAACACACACAAAATGAAAAAAGTTACTTAAATTTAGACTTATAATTACATTATGATAAACTGAAACAGATAATGCCAAAACACAATAGCAAAACACAAACACAAGTACCATGATTTGACACACCTAATCAAATCCAACAGAATAATTCTGCTGTGAGTAAGGTAACAATTACATAATTTATTTCTCACAAGTCTTTCTTTTTATATAATACCACAAGATAGCACAACAACCATACCTAATTATATCATTTTACAAAGGTTGTAGCAAAATCTTAACTCCATATTTTGGCTGAGTTGTGAGGAATATATCAGGCGAGTGCACGTAATTTCCCGATAGCGTAAACTTGTACCGTTGGAGAATCATCGACAACGCTATTTTGGCCTCGTTACTCGCGAAATTCATACCAACACAAATCCGAGGTCCAAAACCGAATCCTAGGAAGGCTATGGCATTGCCATTGGTTGCTTTAGCTAAACCCTCGGAAAATCTCTCGGGTTTGAAAAGATGAGCGTCTTGCCCCCATATTTCCGGGTTTCTGTGCAGAGCAAGAGGTGGAATCGAAAGGTTTACGTTAGCCGGAATTTCGAATTTTCCTAGTTTGACCTTTGTGTCCGTCCTTCGAGTGATATTTGTCACCGGACTATATAGCCTCAATGTTTCGTATATAATCATGTTCACCTAATCAACGAAACACAATCTTTTGTAATGGTCAAATATAACAAGCAAAATTGCAATTTATGGCCTGTGGCAATTGTGGACACCAACACCTGCAAATTACGACAATAACTTGAAAAACCAGGCACTTAATGATCAATACACGTACAATTTACCGAATTTCGCCGGTTTTTGCCGACAAATTAGGACAATAACTTGCAATTTATGGTAATTGTACTTCAATTGGAATTAAGTGCATGATATTTCAACTTTGCCTAAACAAAAAGACGGTGTGTATAATTGCCACATGCCACAAGTTACACGCATAATTGCGAATATAACAATTCTAGTTTCTAAAGTATTAGAGAGGAGAATTTAGTGCCCAAATAGAAATGGAAATAAAGGTTTGCCAAAATCAAGATTTGCATAAAAGGACCTGTGATATTCAAGAACCTTTCGGTTCTATGTTTTTTTTGGATGTAAGAGTTCGCATTTTTGGCCAAACTCAGTAGAAATGTCGGGCATTTGATCATCTAAATGNAAAAAAAAAAGACCACATGTAAACATTTTTAGCCCACTCGACGTTCTCCAAGACGATCAAAACCGTAAAAGCTTTAGAACTTTTTCTTTTGAGCAGAACAAGATTTTGGCACAAACCCGTTCTGAACTTCAAATTAAATTTAACCCATCCATTGCACATTATACTAAGAAGCAAGAAAAATATTTCCAAAAATTGCATATCAATAAAAATTTGCTTACTATCTTCAATCGGGCAAGACTTTCCGAATTTGGCTTTTCCAGTCCAAAAAGCTCGAGCACCTCATTTCTCGCTTTCTCTTGCCAGTCCGTGTGGATTGCAAGAAACATAACGCTCCACGACAATAAACTGTAAGTCGTTTCTTGCCCGGCAAAATAGAACGTTTTACATTCGTCGATTATTTCAGCAGCCGATATCGGGCTTCCTAAGCCCATATCGTCGTGAGATTTCAAGAGTGACCCAAGAAAATCATTCCCGAAATTTTGGGCCCGGCCCATTTTCACCTCGTCCCGTCTCTTGTTCACGAGTTCCATGATAGAGTCGTGAAGTAGCTTCTCGACTCGATCGGCTTCAATGTCTTCCTTTGTTCTTACAAACTTTCTGAAGATGGTTTTTGCCAAAGTATTACTAAAGTTCAAGTTTTGTTTAAAAGAAGCTAAAATAAACTAAATATAGACTAGTTTAAAAGTGCTTTTTTTATTAGTGTCTAAACTCAAACCAAAAGCAGGGTAATAACTCATAAATCCAAAGAAGCAATATCCTAATTATGCTTTCAGATTATAGTCTCTGATTAAATTGTGACAAATTATAAATAACACCTATATACTTCACGAACACAACGAATGCACTTTTAATTTTCAAAAGAAGAAACAAGAATCACTTTTTACGTTAGTGTTTGCAAAACTAAACCCACATAAAAGACAATGCAGAAAACCAACAGAATATGGAAATGCAGAAAATGTATCAAAATCCATACTCAGTGACGAAAAATCTGATGTTAAACGCGTTTTTTGAAATCAAAGTGCACAAATCCCTGAGCAGATTGAATATCTTTCTCCCTTCAACATAACTGCTTCCAAAAGCTGTCCTTGAAATCACTTCTGATGTAAGAACCTTAAAATCACTGCAAACATCGATTTCTTTGCCCTCGTAATTTTTCCAATTATCCAACATAGCTTCAACACTAGCAATCATGGCTGGAATCATATCCTAAACAAGAATGATATCAATCAAGAAAAACTAGTTTTTCAACTCACAACTAATTAGAAATACTAGCAAAAAAATAAATAACTTTTTGTTTTTTTTAATCTGGTACAGGGCAAATTTAAAAATCTAACATTATAAAGCCATTACCTTGAGACACTCTCCATGGAAAGCATGATTAGCCAATTTCCTAAGCTTAAACCATTTTTCACCTTCTGCCATAACAATCCCATCTCCCAACAGTTTCTTCAAGTAACCTTTTAGTTTGGTCTTTGGATAAAAACTCTCTCTGTTGATAAGAATTTCTTTAATCAAATCAAGCTCAGTAACAACTAAATAAGGCTGAGTACCCATCCAGTGGACAAAATTGTTCCCTAAAAAAATACATGAAAAAAAAAATGTATTTATTNAAAAAAAAAAAAAAAGGACGTAATAATTACCATATAATTTCATCCAAGAATACAAGTGAGGCTGGATTATTGGGAAAATATCATGAGTCAAATAATTCATGGGGGCTTTGTTTGTTTGATTATTGAATTTGATGAGCTCTTTTGAGCTTCCATGGAAGAACTTGTAAGAGGGTCCTCTGATCCCTTGGGACATCATCTTATGTTGGAGATGAAGTGGGGTCCACCATAATTTGTAAGCTGCTGTTAATAAGGGAATTAGTAGTAATATTGCAAGGAAGACAAAGATTGCTAGAAGGGCAATCATTGTTGCAAAATTTCTTATTAATGACTGATGATTTTGGTGTTTATGTGAGATGAAGAGGGTTTGGGAGTTATTCTGTGAGAGTGGAAGTTTATAGAGGAAGATGAGATTTAGAGTAGTGAAAAATGGACTTTGCTTCTTGAATATTTTATTGCAATATTATTATAAGTGAGAAGTTTGACTTATAATATGTGAAGGAGTTTTTTTGTTTTTTTTTTTTCTTTTTCTTTTTTAAGTATAGTAAATCCTTAACCAACTNAAATAGAATTAATGATGATGGAGCTGGGCTAAAGTATTGGATCTTTTGAGGAAGATAAAATATTTTTGCTTTCTAAACCTTATTAGTGCAGGGGTTCTGGAATTAATAAGGTTGCCATTGGACATAAATTTAATCTGGATTTAACAAATCAAATTCACAGCCGTAGGATGTAGAGTATCCGTTATAAGAATAAGGAGGTGGATAACTCAGATCTCCATACGGGTATATCTTGATAATTGTCGGAGTATCTACGAGACGAGCTTCTGACATAAGAATAGACATATGAATCAATTGGAACACTTAAAGCGAATTACCTCGCACAAGAACAACAAAACAATCCAAAGGTACACGAGACCAAGACAAAAACAATGCAAATGCTAGAAAACCACGACACAATATTCACAAAAACACCACCAACAAAAAGCAAGAGAAATAGAAAATAAGAAAATAATCAAGAGAACACACACAAAATTAGCAATTTCACAAAAAGTAAGATAAATATGGAAAATAAGTCAATCAATTGCCTAAATCCAATGGCCTACTCGCCTTCCCCGGCAACGGCGTCATTTTGCTTGTAGTTTTTAGCCGAGTACGGAATAAATTCTGCCTCGAGTCGTGTCTCTTGTGGAAGGTTGTTCGGCCACGAATTCAAGCAATGATTGACTCACACATGAAAAGAAAATAAAAAGTCCTAAATACTTTACTCGCAAATTGGGGTTTGAACTAAGCTAAAGAACGCAACTTAAAAGCAAGAATGAAAACAAGATTTAATATTTTTTAAAGCAAGCAAATCCTCAAATGGAAATAAAAGAGAAAATAAAGTGAAAAAAGAACAAGGTACCCTAAGATGCGAGATGGAAAGAAGACACTTATAGGTTCGGAAACATACAATCAAGCAATCGTCACTCGTGAATCAACTAATCGAGAACTCAATTAGTTCTCGCTCACGCAATCAACATCAAAATCCTATATTTCCTAGCCTACAAGGATGATAGCATACTCTACTCATGAAATCTCTCCTACCTTTAGCGTAGAAAAATCTAACAAGTAAAGAAAAGAAAACTTACGAGATGTTGGACCTTAAACAAAGTCTCTTAGTCTCTAGTGCATCCACGAGAAGAAGTACACATGAAAGTTGCAATCTTGACGAAGAATATTAATACAATAAAATTTAGATCTTGGAGCTCTTACACTGAGAGAGAAAAAAAACTAAAAGAAAAATCTTTTAAACGAGGAATTGATTCTCAAAATATAAAAGGGTAAGTCTATTTATAGTTACACCTCAAACACACACTAAAAACACACATTTAACGGAAAACACTCGCCCATTTAATGTTGTATACCAAAATTTTGCCCATGTTCAAGCTGGGCAAGTGATTCCTCATGCCAGGCGGGTCTCGGGCGAGTACTTTCTCGTGCCTGGCGGGAGTCGGGCGAGTGTGTGGGTCTGGGCAAGTACTTTCTCGCTCCTGGCGGGTCTCGGATGAGCCGGTCGCCTGGCAAGGCGCTAGGCGAGTGCTGGCGCGGCAAGCGGCTGGTAGGCGAGTCGCGGGCGTGAGAGCGGGTAATTCCTCGGGCGCGCTGGTCGCCTGGCAAGGCGCTGGGCGCGAGCGCGCGACGAGTGATTCTTCGGGCGCGTTGGTCGCCTGGCAAAGCGTTGGGCTCGAGCGTTCGGGTCTCTCAGGCGCATGCGCGAGGATGGGCTAGGTCGCGAGGTACTAGGCGGGTCTCTTAGGCGCGGGTCCACCGGGCACTAACCGAGGCGATCGGCCGGGGGACTTTTTCGGCGAATTTTTATGTGATTTTCAGCTGACTCTCTGAAACGAAAATTCCTACAAAATAAAAGATAAAAAAGAGACATAAAAGCACAGGACATAAAAACGACACGAAAAATACAAAAATGAGCCAAAACGACTAAATGGATCGGGAAAAATTAAAATAAAATAAAACGAACATAAATAAAATACTTACAAACACACAAACAACAAAAACATACAAAACAAGTCTTCTCTACATGGTCCCCAAATGTCAACATGAAAGAGCTCAAAATGCTTTGTTTTCTGTATGCTGCTATAGGGAAAAGAAAGCCTGTGTTGTTTTACCTTGAAACAAATCTTACACTCCTTCAATTTCCTTTATGCTTTAGCAGAGATTTGCTTCAAGACCCCAAATGAAGCATGTCCAAGGTTTATGTGCCACTTCTCCAAAGTCATATCACAGCTCAAATGTAGGGCCTTTGGTTGATGTTGATGATCCAGCACATACAATTTGTCCTGCAAGCTGCTAGTTCCCACAACGTTGCCTGTTGATGCATCCTCTAAGCAACTCCCTTCAGCATATTTGTGTGACTCATAACAAGTTATATTTGAAAGTTGGGATAAACAACGCCTCATAGAGAGTAAGATCTGCAGAGATCTTTACTTCTCTAATTCTTGTCACCAACTTAGTTGTTCCATCAAGCAGGTAGACTGTGATTGGTGCCTTTGTCAAGGCTCCATTTATACAAATATGCTTGCTAGCTATATCTATCACCCAAGCATCTCCACGTAGTGTCAAACACAGACAGAGTATAGTGTTTTCCTTCCCTTTCCTCATTGCTTTCAAAGTTTGATCACATACTGCTCCCCTTTTCTATGAGGCTTTCCTCCTCTAATGTCTTGTGAAAATTTTCCCAGTAATTTCTTCCCATCCGTTGGCTAAAGAACTGAGGCCTTGTGTTATGATCCTTTTCTGTTTCACTACCATTGTCGCAAGATCATCTGCAGTTGAATGCACAAATCTTTGCCTCTTTACTGATAATATCATAGAATAATTCTTATTCATTGTAGGCAAAGGATCCATCAATAGTAATTGATTCTTAACATGATCAAAGCTCTCATTCAAGCCCATTAGAAATTGCATCGACTTAGCTTGCATATTCTGCTCCATTATAGCCTTTCCTACATCATAGGTTGCTCGTGCGTTTAACAATGGCCATGCGTCTGTGTTGCGATTGCTCGCCATTGAAGATCAGACCGAAGCTTCACGGATCGCCACTTGCTCTTGATACCATGACGAAACTCGATCTTAAGGAAGATATTTTCTCATTTCATCATAAATCCTCAAAAATACATGTAGATCGTTTTTTATACAATTATGTTCATGCATATGATCGTGCGACGTCGTTTGGCCTATTAAAGCCTGAGAATAGAAATGACATAGCATAGCGAGTACATGTATTAATTGGATTGTAATATTATTTCTTATAATAATCATGGAATTGTAAATGTATTGTAAAAGTTAATAATTTTTGTATTTTTTTCTCAATTTTATATATATAATATATCAAATTAATCATCTCTTGATGAACTTCGATTTAACATCCATATTGCATGTATAAAAAAATAAATTATATTCATATTTATAACAATAATAAAATTATTTTTTAATATTAATTAAAAAAATTTATCTATGTTTCAAGTAATTATATGATATACGAGAAAAATTACTATAATATAACATATGTAAGCGCAAGTAACAAGTGTCATTCTAAAATATATAATAATATATATATATATATATATTTTTTAAAAAAATAATTAAATTTTAAAATAATTTTTCTCATTAATTTTAAAAATTTAAGAATAATTTTTTGACAAGCTACCGTGTAATACACAAGTGTTGTACTAATTATTATTTTGTAATGTAGTGCTTGACACGTACAATCATTTGTCCAATTCCCCATTTAATTTCTTTTTTATCATATGAATTTGTTACGAATAGGACTATTTTGTTGCTAATAATACCATGAATCGCAAGTTACCCCATATTAAATTTTGTAATGCTTCTTTTAAAATTGCAATATTGCTTTTATTTCAAATAACTACCATGTGCTACACACAACGAACTTATTCAATAAATACTCGTTTTTTTAAAAACAAATATTATCACCAACGGAATTATAAAACACGATCAAAGACAAATTACACGATCGACACACAACACAACACGATCCGAAAAAAGACTTGAATACCACGAAACAACAATTTTAGTTAAAAATTGAACTTATAATAATATTTATGATAAAATAAAAACATACAACACGATAGTAAAACATGAACATAACTGACCGAGTAGTAATGCTAAGGAGCTAAGAGTTGACTCCTTAGCATTACTGACTGACCGAGACACACGTGATAATTCAGAACCTATACTAACATTCAACTTGAGAAAGGGAACAATTACATAATTTGTTTATCAAAAGTCTTATTTTTTTTTATAAATTATAATACTAAAAGATTACACAATAACCATACCTAATTATTAAATCACTTTACAAAGGTTGTAGCAAAATCTTAACTCCATGTTGTGGCTGAGTTGTGAGAAATATATCAGGCGAGTGCACATAATTTGCCGAGAGCGTAAACTTATAGCGTTGGAGAATCATCGACAGCGCTATTTTGGCCTCATTACTCGCGAAATTCATACCAACACAAATCCGAGGTCCAAAACCGAATCCTAGAAAGGCTGTCGCATTGCCGTTGGTTGCTTTAGCTAAACCCTCGGAAAATCTCTCGGGCCTAAAAAAATGAGCCTCTTGCCCCCATAATTCCGGGTTTCTATGCAGAGCAAGAGGTGCAATCGAAAGGATTACGTTAGGCGGAATTTCGTATTTACCTAATTTGACCTTTTTGTCCGTCCTCCGAGTGATAATCGTCACTGGACTGTATAGCCTCAACGTTTCGTATATAATCATGTTCACCTACACAAGGCAACACAACTTTTTCGACATTACACATTTAGTGTGATCAAATATAACAAGGCAAAATTGCAATTTATGTAATTGGCAATTATGGACACCAACACCATCTTTTTATTCGGCAAATTAGGATAGTAACTTGAAAATCATGGATCAATCGACGTACAATTTAACGAATTTGACCGATTTTTGCCAGGACAGTAACTTACAATTTATCGAAATTGTACGTCAAAATTGGGCATTAAGTGCGTGATTTTTCAAGTTACTATCCTAGCTGGTTAGCATAAACAAAAAGATCTAGTTTGCACATAAACAAAAAGACAGTGTGTATACAACCACATGTGGCATAAGTTACAGGGCATAAACAGTTTTGCCACTCTAGTGTGTAAAGTATTAGAGAGGAGAATTAAGTGCCCATATAGAAAGGGAACTAAAGGTTTGCNTTCTATGTTTTCTTGGATGTAAGAGTTCACATTTTTGGCCACACTCAGTAGAAAAATTGTTCAGGGATTTGATCATCTAAATGAGAGAAATTTTGACAGAAAAAGAAAAAAAAAAAAGATCACATGTGAACATTTTTTGCCAGAATTATATAATACGGAAAGTAATTTAGCCCACTCGACGTTCTCCAAGACGATCAAAACCGTAAAAAGCTTTAGAACTTTTTCTTTTGAGCAAAACAAAATTTTGGCCCGAACCCAGTTATTGCAGCCATTATAGCGATAAGACTAAGTTGCAAATTTAATTAAGGCAAAAGTGCATTCTTTTTCCTTTATTTTTAACGTCATAGCAATTTTAGTCCAAATTTAGTCCAAAGATTTCAACTTTTTGTCTTTAAAATTTGCTGCAGGACTGAAATTGCAACATAATTTTAAATTACAAGAATGAAATTAAACAAAATTTTAAATTACAAATTACAGGACTTAAATTGTGAATTGAAAATCTGGGAATTTTAGAATTTGTTGCAATTTTAGTCCTCAAATTGCAACAAAATATTAAACCAGCAAAATATTAAATCACATGACCAAAAAGCGAAATGTTGGAATCTTTGGACTAAAATTACTATGACGTTTAACGAGCAGGACCAAAAAATGCAATTTTGCCCTAAATTAACCCATCCATTTCACATTATACTAAGAAGCAGGAAAAATAGTTCCAAAAATTGTATATCAATTCACAAAATTCGCTTACTATCTTCAATCTGGCAAGGCCTTCCGAGTTTGGACTTTCCCGTCCGAAAAGCTCGATCACCTCATTTCTCGCTTTCTCTTGCCAGTCCGTCTGGATCGCAAGAAGCAGAACACTCCACGACAATAAACTGTAACTCGTTTCTTGCCCGGCAAAATAGAACGTTTTACATTCGTCGATTATTTCAGCAGCCGATATCGGGCCTCCCAAGCCCATATCGTCGTGAGATTTCAAGAGCGACCCAAGAAAATCATTCCCGAAATTGTGGGCCCCGCCCGTTTTCACTTCGTCCTGTCTCTTCTTCACGATTTCCATGATTGAGTCGTGAAGTAGCTTCTCGACTCTGTCGGCTTCAATGTCGTCATGTGTTCTTACAAACTTTCTGAAGATGATTTACAAAAAGGCTAAGATAAGCTAAATATAGACTGATGTGATTAAGTGAAACCAACTGAAAAAATACGAATCAGAAGCCGGGTGCATTTTAGAAACCTTAATAACTACTTATAGTTAAATTGATAAAAGTGCTTTTTTTTTATTAGTGTCTAAAATCAAACCAAAAGCAGGGTCATAAACTCTCATAAGCGATATTCTAACAATACTCAGTGCAAAAAATGCAAAAAATGTAAGAAAGTCCATACTCAGTGCCAAAAAATCTGATGTTATACGCGTTTTTTGAAATCAAAACGCCCAAATCCCTGAGCAGATTGAATATCTTTCTCCCTTCAACATAACTGCTTCCAAAAGCTGTCCTTGAAATCACTTCTGATGTAAGAACCTTAAATTCACTGCAAACCTCGATTTCTTTTCCCTCGTAATTTTTCCAGTTATCCAACATAGCTTCAACACTAGCAATCTTGGCTGGAACCATATCCTAAACAAAGAATCATATCAATCAAGAACAACTACTTTTTCAAACAAAGAATGATATCAATCAAGAAAAACTACTTTTTCAACTCACAACTAATTAGAAAAACTAGCAAAAAAATCATTTTTTTTTTTTTATTTATCTGGTACAGGGCAAGTTTGAAAATCTAATAACATATTAAAGCCATTACCTTGAGACACTCTCCATGGAAAGCATGATTAGCCAATTTCCTAAGCTTTAACCATTTTTCACCTTCTGCCCTAACAATCCCATCTCCCAACAATTTCGTCAAGTAACCTTTTATTTTGGGTTTCGGATAAAAATTTTCTCTGTTGCTCAGAATTTCTTTAATCAAATCAGGCTCAGTAACAACTAAATAAGGCTGAGTACCCATCCAGTGGACAAAATTGTTCCCTAAAAATACATGAAAAAAAAAATAATTATGTAATTTATATGCATTTTTCACCAATAAAACAAAAAAAAAAAAAACAAGAAAGACTTAATAATTACCATATAATTTCATCCAAGAATACAAATGAGGCTGGATTATTGGGAAAATATCATGAGTCGAATAATCCATGGGGGCTTTGTTTGTTTGATTCTTGAATTTGATGAGCTCCTTTGAGGTGCCATGGAAGATCTTGTAAGAAGGTCCTCTTATCCCTTGGGACCTCATCTTGTGTTGGAGATGAAGTGGGGCCCACCATAATTTGTAAGCTGCTGTTAATAAGGGAATTACTAGTAATATTGCAAGGAAGACAGAGATTGCTGGAAGAAGGGCAATCATGGTGGCAAAATTTCTTGCAAGAGTGTGAGATAGAAGACGGTTGGAGTTGTTCTGTGAGAGTGGAATGGAAGTTTTATAGAGGAAGATGAGATTTGAGTAGTGGACATGGATTTTGCTTAACCAATCAAATCAATTTAATCCATTTAACCAATCAAATCCACTTCAAATCTAGCAAATAATTTTAAATTTAAAATTTTAAGTCAAGATCCAAATCAATTTAATTATTCTTAATATTTATCAATATAATTAAATAATTTATAAATCAATCATCCTCACAAATCAGAAATCACACCAACGAAATTCATGATTTATCCACTCAAATATTTTTAACTAAGAATCAAATATAATCACTTATCTCATACTTTTACATTTCATCAACTTTTAATCAATATATTTTCACTTATCACCAAACACAAACTTAAAATCCAATTCATAACTCCATTCATTAACTTTTTTTCAACTTTAATTTAGTTTATTCGATAAATTTAAATTACATCCAAAAAACGTATGTCCAATCTTTTATTCACTTTATTCAATAAATCTAAATCACATCCATAAAAATTATGTCTGCGTGGAGTTGGGCTAAAGTAATTTTAAGTTGGATCTTTTCAAGAAGAAAAATATTTCTGCTTTCTACACAATATAGGGTCAAAATTTTATTTTCGTCCACTATATAATAAAAATAAAAAATGTTATATTTACAGGCATCAAACTCGATACTTTAATTGTTAAAAACATAAAAAGAAAACTATACTCTAATCATGAAAAGCGGGATAAAGGCTGGATTGGAAGATTATTTATTTATTTTATCATACAATATATATATGTCAAATATGACATGAGATTATTGATTTGATATATTATATATATAAAATTGATAATAAATATAAAAGTTAACTTATAAAATATATTGACAATAAACTGTATTATAATTAAAAAAAAGATTGGGAGAAAAAAAAAAGATTGAGACAAAAAAATTCATTCCTTAAAAATCACGTCCTGAATAAAAAATTATTTCAAAATCACAATTAATCCTCATAAAAATAGTCATAAATATCCAGTATCTATCATTATATAAAAAGAATAACTTTTTTACAAATTTAGAAACATTTTCCCGCCAAAATCATTAAATATATCCTATATATAGTAATTGTTGGACAAATCTGAATAGACAAAAAAATCCGCTCAATTGTGTAAAGATTTGTTTCTCTTTTTCTGGTTTCTTAGTTTATCGTGTTGACAATAAATATTTGTTTTTCTTTTTCCTATTTTTAGTACAAATTTACACGAGCTTATCTCTTCTGTTACAAAATCCCATTGCATACGATGTTACGTGTTTAAAAAATCTCATCCCTTATCTATACAGATTTGAAAAAATAAAATAAAATATAAATCAATTCATAATTACTACTAGAAATTCATTATCTTTAAAAAGAAAAAATAAAATAAAATAGAAATCAATTCATAATTACAACTAGAAATCCATTATCTACTTTAAGAAGCTAATTTTCATCGGTCTAATTACTAATATTTTTACAAATATTCTAAGCTAACCATACAAAAAAGTATAATAATAATTTTGAAATGGTGTGTAATCAAATTTTTTTATATTCTCTTATAGAAAATAATTGTACATTGTTTGACCCCGAATATTTAATTTATAAAAATATTGTTTATCCTCCTCTTTTATTTATAATTATTTTTTTTCTTCCTCTTTTTAAATAGGATCAATAGTAGTTTTCACTTCCTCCATTGACTCAAATTCGAGGTCTATTTATAATATTGTTAATTTAATATTGTTCCCGTGCATCGCACGGGGTATACACTAGTATTTAATTACAAGCCTAATTATTTATGGATTGAAAGTAAATTAAAGTTATCCAACTCAAAAGATGAAACATAAAATTTTGCCAAATAGAATCCTAAAGTGTGCGAGCCGCACATTCGAAAATTATATATATGGAGGATAATTCAATCTTTATGTATGACATTGGTAATTGCAGTGATACATAATATTTATCATCAATCTTCTTATCATACAATACACACTAAAGAAGACACAACTGCATCTCAGTTCCTAATTGCCTCTCAATATCACTTATAAAGCCTGGAGCAAAATCTGAACTCCATGTTGTGGTTGAGTTGTGAGAAGTACATAAGGCGAGTGCACGTAATTTCCCGAGAGCGTGAACTTGTACCGTTGGAGAATCATCGACAACGCTATTTTGGCCTCATTGTTCGCAAAATTCATACCAACACAAAACCGAGGTCCAAACCCGAATCCTAGGAAGGCTGTCGCATTACCGTTGGTCGCTTTAGCTAAACCCTCAGAAAATCTTTCTGGTCTGAAAAGATGCGCGTTGTGTCCCCATATTTTTGGGTTTCTGTGCACTGCATGAAGTAGAATGTGCAATTCCACGTTTGCTGGAAGTTCGTATTTTCCCAATTTGACCTTTCGTTTTGTCATTCGACTCATGCTGGTTGCAGGACTGTATAGCCTCATTGTTTCGAGTAGTATCATGTTTACCTATGTATATTAGAACAAAATTTTACGAATTTACGAAAAAAAAAAGGTTGCAATTCAAAGAATTGTTTGGAAAAATTGGAGATTTAGTTCTGTAACTGACACCTAATTGAGAAATAGCCAGGTGATCGCGTCATCACAAAAAACCCTGACTTGTGGTCTTTCCATCGGCAAAAGTCGGTCCCTATGATCAGTTGCTGACGTGGATATTACTTTTTTTTTTTTTCATACACGT